GTAACAACACATTTCTGGGTTAACATTCAAAAGCTGAACAACCAAGTCTCTATATCTTTCTTCTTGGACCAGGCCACTCTGAGGAATCAATAGGGTTCCTCCCAGAGATCAGTATTGAGAATGTAAGCTGGGTTGGAGCCCTAGAGAGCAGGATAGAAGCTAGTGTGCTAGTAAATATTTAACAATCAGCTCTCAGAAAAAATGTCCATGGTATACATTTTAAAGTTTAATCTGCATTATTAACATTTTCTTCATCACTTTCTTAAGTCTACTCTAGACAATCAATAAAAAATTAATCAAGTCCTGATTTGTAATGTTTCTGAGGCTCACAAGGAAAATTTTGCAATCCTCAAGGCAATACACTCCAGCACACACCTGGAAGCAGGGCTTGTCCCATGGAGGGGACCCTAGTCGAATTTCTTCAGGAGATAGACAAGAAGAGATTGTTTTTTAGATGGGTCAATATCCTTGATATTTCCTGAATGAGGAAGGCAATGAAGTTTTTGGCTATTATTCTTTTTTTTTTTCACTGCATCACAAAGTTGCTCCATCTTTTTTATAATTAATTTATTTTTAGTTTTCAACATTCACTTACATAGGATTTTGAGTTTTAAATTTTCTCCCCCTCCCATTCCTTTCCCCCCAAGATGGCATGCAATATGATATAGGCTCTACTTATACATTCATATTAAGCATACTTTCCCATTAGTTATGATGTAAAGAACAATTAGAACTAATGGGAGGAACCATGAGAATGAAACAATGAAACAAAGCAACAAAGAAAAGGAGAGCAAATGGTATGCTTCCATCTGCATTCAGACTCCATAGTTCTTAGTCTGGATGTAGATAGCAATTTCCGTCTTGCATCTTTTGGGGTTGTCTTAGATTCTTGCATTGCTGTGAAGATTGGCTATTATTCTTAATCCATTTACTTAATGAAAGGCCTTCTCCACTAACACCCCCCCTTCAAACTGGGAGTTAAAGAAAGGGTTCTTTAATAGTGCAGAGCATAATATTTTCAGTTTAAAAAACACTTTTTTAAAAATATGCTTCCACAGTGGCAACTGGTGCTAATTGGACAGAATTTTTAGTGGAAATCAATGAATTGGGGGTACTATTTTGTGAGTTAAAAACTGAAGAAAAATGAATATTTTTAAAAAAACTACAAATGTGATTTCCCCAGACTGGGGTCAAAGTATTTTGGACAAATCATTAACCTCTCTGAGGCTGTTTCCTCATCCTCATCTGATCAATTTTCAACCAGGTAAAATGGAGATAATAATCCTTGCACTTTTACCTTCTTAACATCTTCTGTCCTCTAACACTGCTACCACCTGGTGCAGGCCCTTATCAGCTTGAACCTGGACTATGGAAATAGCCTGCTGATTGGTCTTCCGGCCTTAAGTCTCTTCTCACTCCAGTCCATCCTCCCCTTAGCTGTCAAATTGATCTTTCTAAAGTGCAGGTCTGACCATTCAATAAACCCCTGTTCAATAAACTCCAGTACTTTGTATTATCTCCAGGGTCAAATATAAAACCCTTTGTTTGGCTTTTAAAATCCTGGCCCCTTCCTACCTTTCCAGTACTGCTACTACTAGCAAGCATATATAATGCTTTAAGGATTGCAAAGCATTTTACAAATATTGTCATTTTATCCACACAACAAACCTAGGAGGTACCTATTAGCCCTATTTTATTAATGAGGAAATAGAGGAACTGAGGTTAAGTGACTGCCAAGGTTATACAACTAGTAAGGATTTGAATTCAGGTCTTCCTGACTCCAGGTTGAGCACTCTACCCACTGTATCACCTAGTTGCCCTTCAGATCCAGTGACACTGACCTTGCAGGTCTTTGCACCAGACACTTTATCTCCTGACTCAGCATCTTCAGCGGCTGTCCCCCATGCCTGAAATTTCTTCCTCCTCATCTCTGCTTCCTGACCTCCGTAGCTTCCTTCAAGTCATAGCTCAAATCCTACATTCTACAAGATCTCGATCTCTCTAAATGCTAATACTTTCCCTCTGAGACTATATATCTTGTTTATGCAGAATTGTGCACATGTTGTTATTCAGTCATGTCTAACTCTTTGTGACCCCATTTGGGATTTTCTTGCCAAAGATGCTGCAGTGGTTTTCCATTTCCTTCTTTAGCTCATTTTACAGAAGAGGAAACTGAGGCAAACAGCGTTAAATGACTTGCACGTTGTCTCCCCCATTAAATGATGGGCTCCATGAGGGCAGGGACTGTTTTTTGCTAGTCCTCAGCACTTAGTACAAGGCCTGGCACACAGTAGGTGCATAAGAAATGCCTAGACATTGTGCTTTTTACTCTTGCATAATTATTAGTTACTAATACCTTTACTACTTAGGAAGTACCCCTTTCCCCAGGGTCATCAATATTCATTAGTTCCTCCCTTACAGACAAGGAAATGAGATTTTTATATCTAACATTTTGTAAACCAGTTCTGATCCGCTGCCATATGCTATTTGATTAGAGGTCATGATGATAGTGGGGAGTTTCCTTTTTTTGTTTTTTTTTATAGCTTACTTGGATAGAACAAGGAAAGCAGAGACTTGTCAAGAATTTCTTCTATTAGTTACTAACAGCGGTTATAAGTCAAGAAAACTTCTTCGAAAAAAAATGTTTTCAGATATGTTATCATTTTGCAGAAGATACTCCATTTCTTCACTCGGGGCATTTTCACAGGCTGCCTCCATTCCAGGAATGCTTTCTTTTCTCATCTCTGTGTCCAAGCTCCCCTCAGCCCCTCTTCCTTCCAATCTGAGCTAAAATCCCACCTTCTTCAGGAAGCCTTTTCTGGTCTCCCAAAATGCTAATGCCTCCCCTCTGAGATTGCCTCCAATTTACCCAGTATTTATCTTGTTTGTATCTAGTTTTTTGCATGGTATCTCCCCTCGTGAACTTCTTGAGGGCAGGGCTTAGCACAGTGCCTGCCACATAGTAAACAATAAATGCTTGTTGACCTGACAAACAAATGTAATGAAACATTCTTTTTGGTTTATTTTGCAAGATAAAACTTTGTTTAACCAAGTTAAATTTTCAAACAGTCTACTTGAGGGAGAGAGGGTGATAATTTGGCTTTGTCTTATCAAACAAACTGTGAGTTATTAGCAACTCTGCTGTGAACTTGAAACACTTCCACCCAATGTTTAACCTACTAGCCAGAAATCCAAATTGAACACCCCGAAAGATGAAGCTGAAAGAATAAAGAAAATGTGAGTGTGGACAATTGCTCTGAAAAAAGGTGGAATAAAATACTCAAGCTTAAACTTTTTATTTATTCAAATTCAGTAACAGCCTCACTGATTTCTATTCTAGTAATAAATCTTTGCAGACAATCCTCAAATGCAGTAAAGTTTCAGATACCTAGGGTCTATTTCCTAGAAATGTACAAATTTATTTTCTGTAATAATGGGGGACAAAAATGATGGATAATCAAAATTATGTAGGCTAGCAGTTCTCAGATTTGTTGGTCTCAGGACCACTTTACACTCTTAAAAATTATTGAGGACATCCAAAAGAACTTCTTTATGTGAGTTAAATCTATCAATATTTACCTATTATAAATTATGTCTTACTATTATTATGAAAATAGTTTTGACCTTACAGACCTCCTAAAAGGCTCTTGTTGCTGTAGTCAAGCCACATTGTTGTCCACAACACTTCCCAAGAAGCAGATTAAAAATGTAATTGGGAAATATCTAACAAAATAAATTTACAAAAATTGAATACAGATAATGTTAATGTGTGGTTTCTAGTTCAACTTCCAGCACATGGGGATCCTTATCTATGGCTTCTATCTGAGTTTGACATGCTGTTGGAAGCAATCTCCTCACCTCTAAAAATTCTCACAGCTAAGCAGCTAAAAGTAGGAAAATTGATTTAAGATTTTCATTTCCTCTTTCTGCACCTACTCTACCCCTTGGTGGTGACTAATTAGCAGCCAAATGGGTTAAAGGCAAGCTCCCAAAGAAAGAAAACCCAACGGCCCAGATACCTTGCCTAAAGCAGTTTGATTATGTGATGATTCACTGTATTAAAAGCACTAATTTAAGACTCCTTGAGATATTTTGTGCTTGAGAATTCCCAGGAAAATGATGCTCTTCCTCTGATGTTCTCGTTTTTGTTTTCATTTTTGTTTTTGTTGTTGGTTGGTTTTTTCCTACAGACAAATTCCTCTAAAAGGCACATTTTCTTGCAGCCTCTGGGGACTTTGCTTTTACTCTATGGTTAAAAAGCAAATCTAGGAAGAAGCTTATTAAAATGGAAAGAGTAAAGAAACTGGGAGTCTGGGAGCTCATTGAAAAGCCCAGCTCAGACACAATACAGTGTGATCATGGGCAAATCACTTAACTTCACTGATGTCAGTTTCCTCATCTGTAAAATGGGAATGATAACACCAGGACTATCTATCTCATGGGGCGGCTAGGTGGAGCAGTAGATAGACTCATCTTCCTGACTTCAAATCCTGCCTCAGGCACTTACTAGTTGTATGACCCTGGGCAAGTCACTTAACCCTATTTGCCTCAGTTCCACATCTGTAAAATGAGCAGAGAAGGGAATGGCAAACCACTCTAGTATCTCTGCCAAGAAAATTCCAAATGGGGTTACAAAAAGTAGGACACGACTGAACATCTACTTGATATGGTTACTGGGAGAAAATCTAAGTTTAGCAAATGGGAGCCTCTGCAACCTTTCTTCGTTTATGGAAGAGGACGGGGAGCATGCATTACTACATACCTCTCATTCTGTTTTTCATTTTTTGTCCCTCATTGCAACTTAGGCTAAGCCTTTAGTCATTTGTATATTTGTTAGTCTGACTCCCCTCATTTCAGGCAACAGAGCATGTTTGAGAACCGTAGTTTCCCAGCAAAACTTTTTTTCTCTACATCCTCTCAGTCACAAACATTTATTAAGCGGTTACTATGTGGCAGGCACTGTGCCCCTCTCTCTCTTTTCCTTTCTGCTTCCGGCCCAGGCACCCCTTCCCACATCTACCAGGCTTTCCTTTTCTTTCGTTTCGGAGCAGCCGGGTTTCAAAGAGCCCAGGTATGTGCAGCCAAATAACCCAGGTTGGAATCCAGCCTCTTGCTTTTGCTACCTGCACGACCTGGGACAAGTCACCCCATTTCTCCAGGTCTGTTTCCTCATTGCTAAAATAAAGAAGGGACTGGAGTGGATGCTTTCCAAGGTCTTTCGCTGAAAATCTATGACCCAATGATCCCTTCCATACTTCTTTCCACTCATTTCCTCGTTCCCCTCCCCTCTATTTATTCCTCTCTTCCTCCTCCCCGCGCCGTTTCTTCCCCTCTTCTTTTCTCCTCCCGTTTCCTCCTCTCCTACACCTATTCTCTATCCCTCCTTTCTATTTCTCTCTCCTTAAATGCTTAAGCTCTATTCCCCCTCTTTGCTCTCCGTTTTCTCCTTCCCTGCCCAATTTCTTCTTCCTTACCACCCCTCCCCATCTTTTCTCCTCTGTTTCTTTTTTCCTCCTCCCCCAGATCTCTTGCCTCCATTTCCTCTTCGCGGCCACATAGTGTTTCCTCCCTTCCCCTTTTCTCTCCTCCTCCTATTTGTTTTGTCCGTTTCTCCCCTCTCCTCCCTATTTCCTCTCGCAGTCCCCCCGTGTCTCCCTCCTCCTCCCCTGGGGTGTCTCCCTCCTCCCCCCGGGTGTCTCCCTCCTCCCCGGGGTGTCTCCCTCATCCCCCCTTGGGTGTCTCCCTCCTCCTCCCCCCCGCGGGTGTCTCCCTCCCCCCCGGGGTGTCTCCTTCCTCCTGCCCCCCTATGTCTCCCTCCTTCTCCTCTGGGGTGTCTCCCTCCTTCTCCCCTGGGGTGTCTCCCTCCTTCTCCCCTGGGGTGTCCCCCTCCTCCTCCCCCACTCGGGTGTCTCCCTTCTCCCTCCGGGGTGTCTCCCTCCTCCCCCCCTAGGGTGTCTCCCTCTTCCTCCCCTCGGGTATCTCCTCCCTCCTCCCCTGGGAGGTCTCCCCTCGCCCCTCCCCCTGCCGTCTCCGGTGGGCGGGGCTCGCCCGCTGGAGTGCGACGGTTGCCTAGGGGACGGGGCAGCTTTGGAGGGGGTTGCGCAGTGTTTGTCTGACTGGGCTGGGAGAGCAGGGCGGCGCGAGCGCGCCCCCGAGGGCCGGGGGACATTGTCTGTGGGTCAGTCGGTCTTTCCTCCTCTTGGGTGGGCGGTACTTTGGCGACTGGAGAGGGGGCGATGAGCCGGTAAGAGGAGCCGGGGTCCCCTCTCCCCTCCCCCTCCCTCTTCCTTCTTGTCTTACTCTGCTGCTTATCCCCCAACTTTCTCTTCCCTCGCTGTAGGTACGGGCCTCGATGCTCCGGGGCTTTCAGGACGGTGCTTTCTAAGGTAAGGGCAAAGCCGAAGCTTGGGATCGCTTTCTACACCCCTCTTACCCGACCCCCTACCTTACTGTGGCGCTAATTAGATGAGAAAAAAAAGATCAATTCAGTTCCTATGAAATGCCTTCTGTTTGCAAGGCGTCCCGCCCCGTGGGGTGCACCTACAGATACAGGTCACTGCCCTCCCTCCACCCCACATCTCCCACTCCCTTCCAGCTCAGGAAAAAGCCTTGGGCTGGAAGTCATCGTTCTCGCGCTCTAGTCCCTCAAAGAGTCTGTGACTCTAGGGCCTCTCTCTTTGTCTTTCTGGGTCTCAGTGGTCCCATCTGTAAAGTGAAAGGAATTGTGACTATGGTTTCCAAGGCTCCTTCCAGTACTAATAAGCTTTGGTTCTATAACACCGACGTTCTACGTTCTTGAAAAGCGCAGCCTTCCATCCACACCAGCCATTCCATTTGTAAGTTAGTAGTGATGATGATTGCTCACACCTGTTTAGAGAGACAGGGCTAAAAGTGGCCAATTTCCCTTGGAGGTAGATTCCCATGGAGGAAACTGAGTCTCAGGTTAGTCTTGCCTAAATCCATAAATCATGTGATTCAAAATCCAATCCTCTCTTCCCGTTACTTCAGTCTCTTCCTAAAATAGATTATTCTCAGTGTTGTATAATACACTCCAGTGGCTGGATGTGATCTCTCGTCTTTTTAAGTACATAGTTTTCTCCTATTCAGATTGTAAACGGCACAAGAATAGGGTCTGTTCTTCCCTCTATTTTCAATAACACTTGATAGACTAGTGAGTCTGCTTTAGTTGCTTAAAAACATGCATCAGATTATTTTGCAGGACTAGAGTAGACCTTGTATCCAAATAATACTACAGAGAATGTTGGGTATTTATTTGTCTATGCAAACTAGTTTGTAGCCCTTAAACTGTGATCCTAGTGGGGTTTATTTATTATTGGTGGTGGTACTGGTATGTGTTTTCAGCAATAGTATCAGACTTCTTTTGAATAACTTTAAAGTATTCTTCGTAGAAGCAAAATCAGTGCTTGCTTTTTTAGAGAGATGTTTTATTTCCTCCTATTTATAGTCACAATAGCTGACTGTATTATCCAACCAAGTGACTAGAAGTATAATGGGAATATATGAAAACTTGGGAAAATTCCCCATTCTATCATCTCCTGGTTTTCCCTAATCTATTCACTTGATGCTTTCCCCTTCATATTTTTACCTTCTTAGTTCACTTAAACCTTGGCTTTAGGATACATAACAAAAATTCCCTGAACACAGATGCCCAGAGAATTGAGGTCTTCTGGCTAATCTAATTTTCAGGTTAATTTAGATTTGACCAGAACACTATTTCTATCTTCTATCCTTAACTGTAAATTCATCTAACTGTTCTTGCCTTATAGTAGAATATCATGAACATAATTGATTTTTTTATTTTAGCATCTTGAAGTATATGAATCATTTTGAATGTTATGATAATAATGAGCCACTTATTAAGTGCCTACTATTTGCCAGGCTCTGTGCTAGGTGCTAGGGATATAAAAACAGGAAATTAAACAATCTCTGCTCCCAAACAGTTTATATTCTATCAGGGCAGACAACATTTACATGCATAATTATAAACTAAGTATCTACAGAATAAATACAAGGTAGTTAGGGAAAAGGGGCAGCCAGGTGATTCAGGAGAGAGAATTCTGGCCCTAGAGTTAGGAAGATCTGAGTTGAAATTTGGTCTTAGATGCTTGCTAGCTGTGTGATCCTGGGCAAGTAACTTAAGCCCTGTTTGCCTCCATTTCCTCATTTGTAAAATGAACTGGAAATGGCAAACTGATCCAGTATCGTTGCCAAGAAAATCCCAAATGGGGTCACGAAGAGTCAGACATGACTGAAAAAATGACTGGACAACAACAAAACTTAGGGAGAAAGGGCTCTAACAATTGAAGGAGGATCAGGAAAGCTTCATATACAAAGTGGTACTTGAGCTGCATCTTGAAATAAGTGAGGGATTCTACAAGATAGAGGTGTGGATGAAGGGAGTACTTTTCAAGTGTGAGGAATGACCAGTGGAAAGGTATGGATGTTAGGAGATGAATCACCATATGTAGGGAGAAAGGCTAGTTCGACTGGCCCATAGAGGTCAAAATTGTAATTATAATGAAGTTGGAAAGATAATGAGACCAAGCTGTAAACAGTTTTAAAAAGTAAACAAAGTAGAAAGTATTGGACCTCCTGCAAAGACCTACCTTGGATTCATACTTACAATGTGAAGGTGAACTTGGGTTCTTAAAAGTCTATGCATTAAGAACATAGCTCTGGTGGGTCCTGCCAACCTGGAAAGGTTTCAGGTAGTCAGTGAAATATTTGTTTACCCTCTGAGGACCAGCTTCGCTGAGATCAAAGTAACTGATCACCAAAAAGTTGGCCATCAATTGATGGTTAATTCTTTTTTTAAGTACAGCCAACTCATGAAACTGTTTACTAAGCTATGAAAGAGTTAAAATCTACTTTATTAGAAAGTACCCACAACAGTTATAGTCTAATCTTTTGAGATATCGACTCCTAAGTATATAGCATTGTAGATGGAAGAGATTAAAATCTGAGTTCATGTCCCAAGATCAGACATTCTTTAGAAGTTGCTTTTAAAAGTAAGCCCTTGCTACAATTTGCTTCTTTGTGTTTGACCTTTCAGCTAAAAATTTAATGTCCTCATTTTTCTTTTAAAGCACAGGTTAATTAAGGTTTCACTGTATACAGAACAGTATGGTTTACAGAACCCAGGTTGAAAAGAGCCTCAGCAACTATTAAGTCCATTCTGAACCAGAGGCCCTTTCGTAACATACTTGACAAACTGATCTTTCAGCCTTTGCTTGAAGACAGCCCATTCCACATTTGGCTAGCTTTAATTGTTGATTTTTAATCCAGATGAAATAAGCTTTTCTGCAGTTTCCATTTGTTCATATTTGGATCTTCTAGGAGCAAGCAGAATCTGTTTAATCCCTCTTTCATGTGATAGCCCATACATCATCTATCTTGTTTCCCCAAAATTTTTTCTTGCCCAGGCTAAATATCCCCAATGCCTTCAACCTACCTTCATCTGGCATGAACATGAGGCCCTTCACCATCCTGATTACTCTCTGGATGGTAAAATTATCAATGCTGATATAACATGAACCCACAAAAATCATCAGCATTTCTATATATATATATATATATCATCCCAACAAAGCCCTACAAGAAAAGATGAGAGGTACCCCATTTAAAATAACCATAGGCAGCATAAAATACCTGGGAGTATACCTGCCATGACAAGCCCAGGAACTATATGAACATAATTATAAAGCGCTCTTTATGCAAATAAAGTTAGATTTAAATGATTGGGAAAATATTAATTGTTCACAGGTGAGTCGAGCCAATGTAATAAAAATGATGATTCTCCATGAAGTTATCAACTTAATCAGTGACAGTCCAATTAAACTACCAAAATATATTTTATTGAGCTAGAAAAAATAATAAAATTCATTTGGAAGAACAGAAGGGCAAGAATATCAAAGGAATTAATGAAAAAAATTTTTTCATGAATTTAATAAGGAAGGAGGTCTAGCAACATCTTAAACTGTATTATAAGGTAGTTATCAAAACTAGATGGTACTGGCTAAGAAATAGAGTGGTGGATCAATGAATAGAGTAGATATACAATACACAGCAATAAATTATTATAGTAACCTTGTGTTTGATAATGTAAAGATCTAAGCTGTTGGGATCAAAACTCACTGTTTGGCAAAAAAAAAAAAATGCTGAGAAAACTAGAAAGCAGTCTGGCAAAAATTAGGTATAGATAATGTCTTACACCATTTACCAAGATAAGGTCAAACGGATACATGACCTAGACATAAAGGGAGATACAAGTAAATCAGAAGAGCATGGAACATGTTACCTATCAGATTTATGGCTAGAAGAATTTATGAATAAACAACAGATAGAAAGCATTGTGGGATATAAAATGGATGATTCTGACTACATTAAGTTTTAAAAAGTTTTTGTATATATAAAACCAATGTAGCCAAGATTATAAGGAAAGCAGAAAATTGGGGGGAAATTATAGACTGTTTCTCAGATAAAGGCCTCACATCTCAAATATATAAAGAACTGAGTCAAATTTATAAGAATGAGTTATTCTCTAATTGCTATATGGTCAAAACAGGCAGTTTTTGGAAAAAGAGATCAAAGCTAGATATACACATATGAAAATTGCTCTAAATCATTATTGATTAGAGAAATGCAAATTATAACAACTTTGAGGTACCATCTCACACCTGTCAGATTGGCTAAAATGATAGAAGGGGAAAATGACAAATGTTGGAGGGGATGTTGAAAAATTGGGGCACTAATACACTGTTGGTGGAATTGTGAACTGATCCGATCATTTTGGGGAGAAATTTTGAATTATGCCCAAAGAGTTATAAAACTTGTATACCTTTTGACCCAGCAATACCACTCTTAGGTCTGTTATCAGGGAAAAAGGAAAAGAATCTATAGGTTATAAAATATAGCAGATCTCTTTGTGATGGCGAAGAAATGGAAATCGAAGGGATACCTATCAATTGAGGAATGATTGAATAAGTTGTAGTATATGATTGTCATGCAATATATGTATATCATATACACATACACACACACATATATATATATATACATATATACATATATACTGTGCTATAAGAAATGAACAGGTGGATTTTAGAAAAATATGGAAAGACTTGCATGAAATAATAAAGAGTGAAATGAGCAGAACCAAGAGAACATTGTATACAATAACAGCAATATTGTTTGAAGAGTAACTGAACGACCTAGCTCTTCTGAGTTAAGTAAGCATTCAGATCAACCATGAAGGACATATGAAGGAAAGTGCTGTTCACAGCCAGAGAAAACTGCTATATGGAAGTATGTATTGTATGGTGCCATGTATATATCTATATCAAATGTTGGCCTCTATTGTGGGGTT